ATATGAGGAGAGGTTCAGCCACTGGAATGAAAGTTAACCTTGAAATAAAATAACGCAGAGGTGCGCTTCTGTGCCTCACGCGAGACCTCTTGTGAGACCTCATGCCTCCCAACTGCCCTGAATGACTCCGATGCCTTCAGTTTCTCTTGCAGGGGCAGGCACTCTTCAGATTTACACCCAAAGAAACAGTTCGGCCAGTTTTGCTGTGTATACTTCTGCCAAAAACATAATTTAAAAATCCCTATTTTAAAACTGTTGATATTGAATAGATAGTGGACTAAGTCGATTTTCCATTTTCTTTCCTAATTTATTTTTCTTCTGATTATAAAAATAGTGCAAACCCACTGTTGAGAATTTAGAAAATACAGAAAGCTATGATCACTCCCAGGAATCCTGGTGTGGTGCTGTCGGATAAGCACTGACTGCTAACCTAAAGGTCGGCAGTTCAAACCCACCAACTGCTCTTTGGAAACCCTATACAGGGTCACTATGAATCAGAAGCAACTTGATGACACTTAATAACAACAACAATGATCACTGTCAACTGTCAATAGATGCCCTATTTCCAGTTCTTTAGAAACACGCTCATTTGAATCATTTGAATCATAACCTTTACATAGTGTTGCTTTCCCATGCCAACAGTGTGAAACGTCAAGTGAATCAGGATTTTTTAGCCAAACTCCTAACCCATTTTATGGCCCTGGAGCCCACGTAGAAAAGGCCCCAGGTCCCTGCAAACAAGCAGAAGTCTGGGCCCTGGGCTCAGGATATTTGTCCCATTCTCTGATCCAAAGTCTAGTCCCTCCCTGCTTCCCTGTACCTCTAGGCCTGAGCTGAAACAGAAATGGCAAGCCAGGAGAGACGGGAGATGAGAGCCAGGATCTCCCACGACCCTGGTCTGCCAACTCACTGCAGAGTTTTGTCCTGTGCTCTGGCTCGTTGTGTTAGACTACGGTGGCTGGTGCACACTGTGATGCTGGGAGCTGTTGCCATGGGTACTTCCGATGCCAGCAGGGCCACCTAGGTAGTTCCTAGACTAAGAAAATCAGGTCTGGTGATCTTCCAAAATCAGCCAGTGAAAACTCCATGGATCACAACAAAATATTGGCCAGTACAGTACTGGAGTAGCGTAGTGGGTTACACGTTGGGCTGCTAATCGAAAGGCCAGCAGTTCGAATCTACCAGCTGTTCATGGGAGAAAAAATGAGGCATTCTGATTCCCAGCCTCAGAAACCCTATAGAGGGTGACTAGGAGTTGGAAGCGACTTTAAAGTACGCAGCAGCAGCCCACAGGCCAGAGTCTTTAAAACGCGCAGCGGCTGCAACAATAGACTAGAACATACCAGTGACTGTAAAGATGACCATGCTTTGTTCTACTGTCCACAGTGCCACTAGGAGTCAGAGCCTACTCCATGACAACTAGCAACAACGAACAGGTCACAGAGAAGAAAACAAGGGAGGCTGCTGAGGTGGGCTCAGTGAAACACTGAGAGACAGCAGCAGGTTCTCCGCCCTGCCACTTGGGGCATCAACTGTAGCACAGACTCCAGATCTTAGATAAAGTGGGGTTCATTAGTGGGTAGCACAACCGAATGGTGGAAAAACAACTTTGAGGACCACAGTTCGCAGCAGGTCCAATAACACTAAGCATGAAATCTATCCCCCAATCCTGACTCCCAGCCCGCCTCACTACCATCCACACACACCAATCCAAGGGCTGACTTCAAACACAATATCACATTTCTCCCCCAAATCGATGACTGCAGTAAGAGCAAACACACAGGACCCTGGTGAAGGAAGGCTGAGAGGACAATGAATAATCCTTCAAGGCCACCCTGTCATGAGGAAACACAGGCAGCTCTGCGGAGATCTCCACTGGGCGGGAACCTAAATCCTCCATCACCTGACCAGTCACATGAGTGAACCACTTTGGCAGTACACTTGACTCAAGTCGTGGTCTTTTAAGTGGCCTCAGGTGAATGTGAAAGCTGGACAATGGAAAGGGAAGACCAAAGAAGAACTTGCACATTGGATATGTAGCATCAGTAAGGAATATTGAATATACTGTGGTTGGTTGGTTGGTTGGTTATGTGCTGTGGGGTTGGGTCCGACTCATAGCGACCCCACGTAGGGTTTCTGAGGCTATAAATCTTTATGGGAGCAGAAAGCCTCATCTTTCTCCCATGGAACAGTTGGTAGTTTCGAACTACTGACCTTGAGGTTGGCGGCCAACCACTATACTACCAGAGCTCCTTGCAGATTGGCATGAACAAACTGAAATGAACAAATCATTCTTTAAAAAAACAAAACAATGTTCTTAGAAACAAGGATGATGAGACTTCATCTTGCTTATGTATCATCAGAAGAGACCAATTTCTAGGGTAAAGGATCGGTACAAATGAAGAATAGCCTCCATGAGATGAATGGATACAGTAGCTGTAACCCTGGTTACAACCAAGCGATGAGCATGGTGACATGGCGCAGGACTGGGCAATGCTTCCTTTTGTTTAATGTGAGGCCACCGTGAGTTGGAACCCAGTTGACGATGGCAACTAATACCATCAGACAATGGTCTCCTTTCCCTATCTCATGTGATCAAGTTGGACAAGAGGAGGGTTTTGGGAAGACATAAAGTGTGAGCACAATAGCATGTCTGAAATATGCTCTAAGAGAAAGTTACTATATTGTAAGAGACACAGCTCCTTAGAAATCTCCTTCTGTAGAGCCTGGAAGGCATGGGACCTTCTTTAAAGTCACAGACCAAGTATCAGCAGCTCCTCCCTCAGGAGGGATGCTTAGAGCTTGGAAGGTCTTGTAACATTCTTCCAGGTGAAAGTGGGACCCTGTAGGCAGAGCCAAAGGGAAGGAAGAATTTAGGGGAACAGGAGTCCTGGTGTGGTTCTATAGGATAAGCACTAGAGAGCAAGTCAGTTTGAACTGTGAGCTCGGTGGTTCAACTTTACCAGCGTTCACTGGAAACCCTATCCAGGGTCACTGTGAGTCAAAACCGACCCAATGGCACTGAACAACTTAACTTAAGGTAAGCATGAAGAAGGAAGACCAAGGAGAAAAGCAATCCCAACTACCCTTCCAGAGTGGATCGCCATGAGCTGAAGGAGGACCAGCTGGAATACAAGGTTTCTCCATCTTTCCCACTCTGTGTCTGTCTTTTATTTCAGCCAGGGGACTCTACCTGCCCATCATTTCAAGTGCTGGGGACATAGCTGTGGGCTTGCATGAACCCTAAAATATTCTATCACAGACTCACAAAGATCCTCTTCTACGGAAAGTCAGGATGACATGAACTTAATTTGAGGAGACAGTGCTTCCCTGATTGGCATCAGCAGATGGACTTCAGACAGTCATGAGGAAAAGGTGGCCCATCTCACTGTTCCCGCCTCTGTTGTCCCCCATGACCTTGCCCTTGACTCTGCTCTTCATTCATGCAAACTCTCTCAGGGAGTTTATGATGGCTAAGACGCTCTGCCCCCCTACTTGCTCAGGTGCATCCTGAATCTTGGGTTCTACCATAGCTCTCCATCAGGTTCCAACTCTGATGCCCAATGTGTATAGGCGTACTTCCCTCTCTTGGGCTGGCCCTCACCTCACCCTTGTTCTTGTTGTTGTTGTTAAGTGCCGTTGAGTTGTTCCAGGCCCATAGCGACCTTGTATAGGATTTCCAAGAAGCCGCTGGTGAGCTTGAACCACTGACCTTGCAGTTCAAACCGACTTTACAGTCCAGTGCATTAGTCCACAGTGCCAGACCAGGACTCCAATTTACCCTTAGCATACCGAATTTAGAAGTCAACACCCCAAAGATTGGTCTGTTTCCCTCTCTTTGTAATTCCCTACTAGATTTTACAAGATAGAAATAATAACACAACTGAGAGGCGTTGAGGATACAGTCTTAGACAGAAGGGTTCTGCCCCATACGCAACACTACTGATAGGATCCAGACACATGATCAACTTCCTGTCAATATCAATAATGACTCTTCTCTTTGCTCAGCCTCTGAATGTGTCTCTCTTTACATGGTGTCTTAGTTGTGACCAGTGGCTTTCCTGCACTGGTTGAACCACCATCCCTTGTCAAAATCTCAACCTTTCCATCTCTACTCACCTGAGCTCTCACCTGTATTTCAAAATCCAAGACAAATGCACCCACTCTCAAGCTTCACATGTCACCTCATCAACGCATGTCTTTCTCTTTGTTTCAAATCCTATTTGTTTTTTTGTTTTGCTATGGCTGAATGTTTTACATGTGTAACAAGTCACTTAATTTAACCTGACAACTTATTTGACTCACATTTTTAAAATAATGATTGTAAATACATCTCCTAATCTCCACAACCAGGAAATAGTCGTCCCTTGTATGGAAAATCAATTTGCTCTGTTACACTTCCACTAAACGTTAAAAAAGAAGAAACAGAAATAGTCATTGTATTTTAAGATTGGTAAACTATTATGAATAAAACGTATTTAGTAGCACTTTAGTATCTAGATCTTCGGAATTTTGTAAGAGTTGTTACACAACAGAAATAGGGACACAATTGACAAGCACTGAATGGAAATTTCTGGATAAAACCAGTCTGTCCTAATAAATGCAAGGCTATTGACAGAGTCCAAACACATGAACAACTATGCCATCTTCTCAACAAGGATTTCGCAGAACCAGAGCTCAAGATAAAACTGGCTTAGATTTTACCAAAGTACCTTTGCCATGTGTCCCTGGGGGAACAAGCTTTTATGAATTAAAAGTGGAAGAATTCAAAATGAAAAAAGGTTCTGATAGAAGGACCAAGTAAAGAGAGATTTTATTCCTCCAAAACTTAGGTGAGTATAGTTTTGACTCTTTGTTCAGAGGCCCCGGCGTGTACTTCAGTGTTGATGTCCAAGCCATGGAGAGTTACCGGCTCCAGCCCAGAAGAGATACTGAGTCAGACATTAGTCCCAGACTTATGTCTGCAGTTCAACGTAAACTTGAAAAGAATTTTGCCTTACCTGCCAGAATATACTATCGATTGTGTTCCCAAGAAAACCATCGCGCCCTTCTGAAGACACCAGCTTGGGGCCAAGAATGGTCATGAACTCATCGAAATCCACCTGGCCATCCCCTGCAAAGAGAAGATAAAAAATGTGAGTTGACGAGCAGTTGAACTTGAACTTGACCACTGTCCTCAATACAGGAAGCATCTCCATGCTTTTCTCCTTGGCATGAGTCTTCAATAAATGCAGAGCTGGTAACATTACTGAAAAGTATGCAACAAGCTTAGAAAACCCAAAGTACCATAAGAAACTGGCAACTACCAACACATCCAATGACACATACTCCTAAACAACAGCCAGTATTTCTATCTAAATGGTCAAGCAGCAAGTTTCACTTAACCTGCTCCCCTACCTGTGCCTCCCTCTGCCCATTTGTACCTGTTAGAAATCACAGATTGATCTCTACCTCATCTTTAATTTTTGTCACCTATGCTTCGTCTCTCATACTTTGGACACATTGTCCGGAGAGAACAGTCGCTGGAGAAGGATGTCATGCTGGGTAAGGTGGAGGGTCAGAGAAAAAGAGGAAGACCCCCAACAAGATGGATCAGCTAGGCGGCATCATTGATGGCGTAAAGTGTGGCGGCGGTAGTGAGGATGGCCCAGGATCGGACATTGTTTTTCGTTCTGCTGTACATGGGGTCGCTATGAGTCGGTACCGACTTGATGGCACCTGACAACAACAACAACGCATAACTCAGTTCTCAAGACTTGACCTTGTAAGTACCTGTGGTTGGCACATCTTTCTCATTGTCCCCACTGCTAGTGCCCTTTCTAGCGAATATGATGCCAAAACACTCTAAAGAATTAATGAGCTGCTAACCACAACGGCAGCAGTTTGAATCCACCAGTTGCTCCTAGGGAGGAAGAGGAGGCTTTCTGCTCCCATAAAGATTTAAGCTTTGAAAACCATACTGAGGGTCACAGTGAGTCGGAATCAACTCTATGACAGTGAATGACTTTCTACTCAGGCTCCCCTGATGCCCTCCTATTCTCACCTCCAATCTGCCTTCCATACTGTTCCCAGAATTGACGTCCTCCAAAAGGAATTGAGTCAGGTTTTCAAACCTTCAAAGGCACATAATCTCTGACACCTCAGTATCACAACTCAAGTTCCCCTACAAGAGGGCATCAAAAATTTATGAGAAAATAGAATATAAAGATAATGGAAGGTTTTGACCAACTTTTGAAGCCCCCACACACAGCCGGAACATTCCTTAGAAGCAAGGATGACAAGACTTTGTCCCACTTATTTTAGGACATGTTATCAGAAAGGATCACTCCCTGGAGATGGACATCATGCTTGGTAGAGGGGCAGTGAAAAAGAGGAAGACCCTCAATGAGATGGACTGACACAGTGGCTGCAATGAGAAGTTGAAATAAAACAATTGTGAGGATGGCACAGAACTGGGTAGTGTCTCATTCTGTTGACATTGGGTTGCTATGACTTGTACCCTCAAGCGACTCAACAGCACCTAAGAATAACAACAACAGATCTTTAAGACATTCTCCCAGCCTAAATGAATCAGAGATGGGCATTATGCACCCTTGTTGTTATTGTTAGATGCCATTGAGTTGGTTCTGACTCATAGGGACCCTATGCACACTAGAACAAAACATATGCCAACCTTACCATTGTCGTTCTGTTTAACCCCAATGCTGCTGTCACTGTGTCAGTCCATCTCATTGAGGGTCTTTCTCTTTTTTGCTGACCCTCTGCTTTATCAAGCATGGTGTCCTTCTCTGGGGCCTGATCCCTCCTGCCAACATTTCCAAAGACCAAGTGACACAGTCTCACCATCCTGGCTTCTAAGGAGCATCCTGGCTACACTTCTTCCCAGACAGATTTGGCTTTTCTTCTGGAATTCCATGGTACTTTCAATACCTTTCGCCAACACCATAATTCAAATGCATCAATCCTTCTATGGTCTTTCTTATTCGTTGTCCAAGTTTTACATGCATATGAGGCGACTGAAAATACCATGACTTGGATCATGCACACCTTAGTCCTTAAACTGACATCTTTGCTCTTGAACACTGTAAAAAGGTCTTGTGCAGTAGGCTTGCCTAATGTAATTCACCCTTTGATTTCCTGACTGCTGCTTCTATGAGTGTTGACGGTTCAAAAAAGTATCTCCAGCAAGCACTCACCAGTTATTATTTTAGACCAACCATCCATCCCAGGTGTCTCTACACAAGAGTTTACCAAAGAACAGGCTCGTACAGGGATGCAATCCACTGCATAGAATGTGCATTCAATCGAGTGCAATCCACTGCACAGAACTCTAAAAGATCAAGAGGATGCCATCATGAAGGCTTCAATAATTCCCAACAGGTAGCTGGGAGACAGTCCTCAATTTAGATAGAAACTTCCCATAGGACAAAGTGGCATGCCAGTCAGTGGGGAAGGGAAGACGGGGTCACCTCATGGAGTGGGTCAATCAGTAGACTGCTGAGAGGAAATCAATTTCTCGCTCACCATTCAACAAGACACAGAGCTCCCAAATTTTACCCTGACTGATAATCATAAGTGTGTCAATCCAAGAAGCAATGCATCAGTATCCTGCCTTTCAAGATATCAAATCATTCTACTCAATGCTGGTGGAAATGGGGCAGATAGGCTGTCTGATGTATTCACAGTAAGAAGAGAACTCATTGCATGGGCCTGGTTATTGATGGGCAGTATTTATCAAGATGCCTTACAACTCTGGTTCCTTTTAGCCTAATGGCTTCATGCTTCCGGATGACAAAGCAAGGAAATGATTCTAAATGCAGACAGAAATGTTTGCCTAAAGATTATTGTTGTTAGTCAGCTTGGTCTCATGCTAACCCCATGGACAGTAGAAGGAGGCATTGCCTGGTCGTGCACCAGCGTCACAATCATTGGTACCCAACTGGCTGCAAACACTGTGCATTTCAAGTGCCTTCCAAGCGAGGGGCGTGTCTTCCAGCATTGTATGGTGACAATTGTCTGTTGTGATCTGTAAGGTCTTCAACCCCCAGTCTGTCTTAGTCTGGGCTGTCCTCTGGAACCTGTGTACCATGGGTGACCCTGCTAAGATTTGAAATATCAGTGGCATAGTTTTTGATATCCCAGCAACTCGAAAACCACCAAAATTCAACAAGCGGACACCAAACGGACAGATAAGTGGTGGGTGCCTAAAGATAGTCATGAAGTATTTGTCAAAGTTAAACACAGAGGGCTGGGAAAGCAGGAAAGGGCCCAGTCATTCGGACATTCCACACCTCCAAGATCTAGCTCCGTGTGGCTCTAAGTCTCAGACAGATAGATTTCCATCCCCTCCGCTAGTCTTATGGGGGGCTGGATGGCCATAGAAGTCTCAGTTTAGAAGAGAGTTCTTATCTCCACTGTGGGTTAATGTGCCAGACAGCAAAGTTTGAACTGCAAGGTCGGTGGTTCAAGCTCACCAGCTGCTCCTTGGAAACCCTATACAGAGTCGCTATGGGTTGGAATCAACTGGATGGCACTTAACAACAACAACCTCTTCCAATGGGGAGAAAACTAAGTCTCATGGGATGAAGAAATCAAAGAGTACAATGGTTTGTGGTTATTGTTATCACTGTTTTGGGGTGCTGTTGAGCCGATTTTCAATTCATACCGACTGCATGTGGCAGAGTGGAACTGCCCCATGGGGTTGTCAAGGTGGTGGTCTTTATGGCAGCAGAGCTGCAGTCATTTCTCCTGCAGATCCATTGGATGGGATTGAATGATGGTCAACTATCAAGTTAGCAGCCTGCCAGGGCTTCCTGAAATATTCTTAGGGTCACAGATACAGAGCCTATGGTGATGGTGGTGGTTAGCGACACTGTACAGGTTTTCCGAGGCTATAAATCTTTACGGGAGCAGAAAGCCTCATCTTTCTCCCATGGAACAGCTGGTAGTTTCGAACTGCTGACAAAGCCTATGAAGGATATTAAATGTTCATGAAGAGATGGCTGGGAACCAGAGGGAATATATCTTAAAACCTGGTTGTTGTTGTTGGTAAGTGACACCGAGCCGGTTCCAACCTATAGCGACCCTGAACTGGGTTTCCAAGGCTGTAACTCTTTGCGGGAGCAGAAAGCCTCATCTTTCTTCTGTGGAGCAGCTGGTAGTTTCGAACTGCTGACCTTGCGGTTCACAGCCCAATTCATAATCACTACGCTCCCAGAGCTCCTTAAAATGCTCCTGCTGGTAGGGAGGTGATATAAATGAAGGAAGAAGAAGGGACAAAGAAGAGGAGGGGACAGAGGAGGAAGAAGACTGAGAAAGACTGGAATAAAAGCTTTTCCAGGCACTTGGTCTCTGGTCCACCTGGTTCTGGAATGCTGGTCTCTTCACAACAGGCTGCTTCCCGACTACCTGTTACCACAGTGGGGTCTAAAAGCTCTGAAGTGGTACAAGGGCACGGGTCAGGTTCTACAAAGGCCTCATGTGGCTTCAGTTGTATGTCCACCAGGAAGTACAACCCCAGATCCTGATCATGGTGCTCTGACACTGTTCTCTCTCAACCCAAAGATTCAAAGGGCTTGGGTGGCTCTTGTTGTTGTTGTTGTGAAGTGCCATCGAGTCGGTTCTGACCCATAGCGACCCTATATGGGGTTTCTGAGGAGCAGCTGGTAAGCTTGAACTGCCAACCCTGCAGTTCAAACGGCTTTGCAGGTGGCTCTTAGGATGCTGCAAAACACGTGGCTTACCGCAGCCAGGAGAACAGTGTGGTCATTGAAGCATCGACTTTACAGGGAGACCACCCACCCAGGGTGATGGGTACTGCAGCAGTGTGGAAGGGGGACTTTCAGGGGTCCACATGGAAGGCTGCTCAAAGTCAGTGGCACCTAAGGGGAGCTCACACACAGTGACTTGGCTAAGGACTCCAGCCAGATGCTTAGGAAATACAACCTGGCTTCAGGGATACAACAGCTTATTTCTAAGACCTTGGCCACAGGAAGACTGCAGGTTAAAGGAAGACTGATTCTGTGGGCAGCAGCAACTCTGACCAAGGGGTGCGTGTGACAAGTCAGATACTTCCTGCTCTTTGAATGGGAGGTCTATTTCATAGGAAGGAGA